ATTATTTTGTAGAATGTCCCATATTGACTGACTTTCGCCCTCCTGGGAAGAACTGAATAGAGAAGACATTATTGACTAGACTCTACAGAGTTCCTTGTCGACCTGCTTGGTTGGAAGCAGGTCGACGAGGAACTCTGTAGAGTAAGCCCTGCAAACACAAACCAAAACTGTCTCTATTTTCCGCTTGTTACAACTTGTAAAAAAGTTGTTACATCTTGGCTTAACGTGTTTATGACGTATTAGAACGTTGTTACAACTTGCTATATTGGTTGTTATAACTGGTTAGGAGGTGTTAAAACTTGTTCGAACGTTGTACCAACGTCGTAGTTTCGGTGTGTGTTTGGCGGGAGGCAGGTCCTAGTCAATACTGGCTTCTCTAACGATTATGTTAATGACGTCATTAAAAGAAAGGTGACACATCATGCAACCTCCGAAGAATCAACTAACACAACACCTGTACCTCCTATTAGATTGTTTTACAGGAACTTCCTTTCAACGGCTCATAAAACGGAAGAAAGTGTCCTGAAAGATATTATTGATAGGAACGTTATCCCCAGAGACACAAACCAAAAGATACAATTAACAATTTACTACAAAAACAAGAAGACGGCCAATCTCCTTATGAAGAATTCTCCAGACACCAAACAGAACGCCTTAAAAAGTGACCAACGTCGTCTATGCCTTCACATGCTCACTTGGGGACTGTCAGCCCCAAAGATCTCAGTATATAGGCAAGACAACAACGTCTCTTTCTAGCCGATTAACAATGCACAAACAACAGGGCTCCATCAAGGAACATATAATCTCCTCACACAACCAAACCATCACTAGAGAAATCTTAATAAGCAACACAGAAATAATCGATAGATACAACGATAGCAGGAGACTCGACATCAGCGAGGCACTACACATCAAAAAATCAACACCAGCAATCAACAGAAAATTAACACAACTATATTCTACCCACTTCAAGACCTCGAACCAACATAGAAGCAGCAAGAACAATAAAGCAATATAAAGCAGCAGATATGCAATATACCCATTGATTCTTGTTCTGTCTTTTGTCGTCACCTCACCCAAAAACAATTGTGTCATATCACCTCACCCAAAAACAATTGTGTCATATCACCTCACCCAAAAACGAATATAAGCATGAAATGATGTGTGTGTAAAAATCTGTCTATGAAAATGTGAGAAGTCTTTGTGAAATGCTTTTAGGCGTCAGACCATAAATAAAAAATATGAAAATGAGCTTTGGAGAGTTAACTTTTCAATTACCCAAGATAGTGAAGAAAAAGGTAAGAAATATTGAGAAGATTCGTGTTAGAATCATTAATGTTACAATTTCAGTCATATTCAACAACATATGTATAAACGTAAGAAATATTATATATTATATATATATATATATATATATATATATTAGTATATTTTGGTAGCAGTCTTTCCTGTAGACATATTTTATTAAATATGACCGAAAAAGTAAGATTAATAATTCTAACACGAATTTTCTCAATCTTTCGTACATTATGCTTCACTGTTGGAGGTAAATCAAAAATCACTTCTCCAAAATTCATTTTTATTTCTAGTCTGACGCGACACGGGCGCGTTTCGTAAAACTTATTACATTTTCAAAGACTTCACAAATACACAACTGATTAGAACTTGCATTTCCCTGATTTTATATCTACTTTTGAGTGAGGTGGGAAGGGTGATGTGGCATTACATTTGAGTGAGGTGGGAAGGATGATGTGGCATTAGAGGATATTAATAGGGTATTAAAAGTATCAACACAAGACAGAACACGAAACAATGGATATTGAATAGAAGTGTTTGTAGAAAGCCTATTGGTCCATATTTCTTGATGCTTCTATATTGGAGCGGAGTCTTGAGGTGGGTAGAATATAGTTGTGCAATAATTGGCTGTTGATTGCTGGTGTTGACTTCTTGATGTGTAGTGCCTCGCAAACGTCAAGCCGCCTGCTATCGCTGTATCTATCGATGATTTCTGTGTTGTTTACTAGGATTTCTCTGGCGATGGTTTGGTTATGGGAAGAGATTATATGTTCCTTAATGGAGCCCTGTTGTTTATGCATCGTTAAACGCCTAGAAAGAGATGTTGTTGTCTTGCCTATATACTGGGTTTTTTGGAGCTTACAGTCCCCAAGTGGGCATTTGAAGGCATAGACGACGTTAGTCTCTTTTAAAGCGTTCTGTTTCGTGTCTGGAGAGTTTCTCATGAGTAGGCTGGCCGTTTTTCTGGTTTTATAGTAAATCGTCAGTTGTATCCTCTGATTTTTGTCTGTAGGGATAACGTTTCTATTAACAATATCTTTCAGGACCCTTTCCTCTGTTTTATGAGCTGTGGAAAAGAAGTTCCTGTAAAATAGTCTAATAGGGGGTATAGGTGTTGTGTTAGTTGTCTCTTCAGAGGTTGCATGGCTTTTCACTTTCCTTCTTATGATGTCTTCGATGAAACCATTGGAGAAGCCGTTATTGACTAGAACCTGCCTTACCCTACAGAGTTCTTCGTCGACTTGCTTCCATTCTGAGCTGTGGCTGAGAGCACGGTCGACGTATGCGTTAACAACACTCCTCTTGTACCTGTCAGGGCAGTCGCTGTTGGCATTTAGGCACATTCCTATGTTTGTTTCCTTTGTGTAGACTGCAGTGTGGAAACCTCCGCCCTTTTCCATGACTGTTACATCTAGAAAAGGCAGCTTCCCATCCTTTTCCGTCTCGTAAGTGAAACGCAGCACGGAACTCTGCTCAAATGCCTCCTTCAGCTCCTGCAGATGTCTGACATCAGGTACCTGTGTAAAAATGTCGTCAACATACCTGCAGTATATGGCCGGTTTCAAGTTCATGTCGACTAAGACTTTTTGCTCGATGGTACCCATGTAGAAGTTTGCAAACAGGACACCTAGGGGAGAACCCATAGCGACCCCATCTACTTGCTTATACATATGCCCATCCGGGCTCAAGAAGGGTGCCTCTTTAGTACAAGCTTGGAGTAGTTTCCTCAGAATACTTTCTGGCATGTCAAGAGGAGTACAGGCTGGATCACGATACACTCTGTCGGCTATCATTCCGATTGTCTCGTCCACAGGTACGTTCGTAAACAGCGATTCTACGTCCAACGAGGCTCTTATCCCTGTGGCCCGTGCGCCCCGCAGTAAGTCCACAAATTCCTTTGGAGACTTCAGGCTGAAGGCGCAAGGAACATAAGGAGTCAGCAGGCCGTTGAGTCGCTTTGCCAATCTGTACGTGGGTGTGGATATCTGGCTAATGATTGGCCGAAGTGGGTTTCCAGGCTTGTGCGTCTTGACATTTCCATACGCATATCCAGGTTTATATTCCCCAATGATCTTTGGCAGGTGGAGTCCGGATTTCTTGGCGTTCACAGTTTCGATCAGTTTGTTGACCTTTGCTTTTAATTCGGCTGTAGTGTCCTTCGTTACCCTTTGGAACTTAGTTTGGTCAGAGAGTATAGGCATAGGAAGTATGCCTATACTGAGTATAGGCATTTAGGCATAGGAATGTGCCTAAATGCCAACAGCGACTGCCCTGACAGGTACAAGAGGAGTGTTGTTAACGCATATGTCGACCGTGCTCTCAGCCACAGCTCAGAATGGAAGCAAGTCGACGAAGAACTCTGTAGGGTAAGGCAGGTTCTAGTCAATAACGGCTTCTCCAATGGTTTCATCGAAGACATCATAAGAAGGAAAGTGAAAAGCCATGCAACCTCTGAAGAGACAACTAACACAACACCTATACCCCCTATTAGACTATTTTACAGGAACTTCTTTTCCACAGCTCATAAAACAGAGGAAAGGGTCCTGAAAGATATTGTTAATAGAAACGTTATCCCTACAGACAAAAATCAGAGGATACAACTGACGATTTACTATAAAACCAGAAAAACGGCCAGCCTACTCATGAGAAACTCTCCAGACACGAAACAGAACGCTTTAAAAGAGACTAACGTCGTCTATGCCTTCAAATGCCCACTTGGGGACTGTAAGCTCCAAAAAACCCAGTATATAGGCAAGACAACAACATCTCTTTCTAGGCGTTTAACGATGCATAAACAACAGGGCTCCATTAAGGAACATATAATCTCTTCCCATAACCAAACCATCGCCAGAGAAATCCTAGTAAACAACACAGAAATCATCGATAGATACAGCGATAGCAGGCGGCTTGACGTTTGCGAGGCACTACACATCAAGAAGTCAACACCAGCAATCAACAGCCAATTATTGCACAACTATATTCTACCCACCTCAAGACTCCGCTCCAATATAGAAGCATCAAGAAATATGGACCAATAGGCTTTCTACAAACACTTCTATTCAATATCCATTGTTTCGTGTTCTGTCTTGTGTTGATACTTTTAATACCCTATTAATATCCTCTAATGCCACATCATCCTTCCCACCTCACTCAAATGTAATGCCACATCACCCTTCCCACCTCACTCAAAAGTAGATATAAAATCAGGGAAATGCAAGTTCTAATCAGTTGTGTATTTGTGAAGTCTTTGAAAATGTAATAAGTTTTACGAAACGCGCCCGTGTCGCGTCAGACTAGAAATAAAAATGAATTTTGGAGAAGTGATTTTTGATTTACCTCCAACAGTGAAGCATAATGTACGAAAGATTGAGAAAATTCGTGTTAGAATTATTAATCTTACTTTTTCGGTCATATTTAATAAAATATATATATATATATATATATATATATATATATATATATATATATATATATATATATATATATTTTCTCAACCCACACATCTGAATAGAAAGAAATGGCATCTCGGTCCATACTGGACATACTTTAAGTCGTGTAAAGTAATATTAAATGTTCCAAGAGGAATATGGAATACAATTTTACAATTATATATAAACAATACAATTACAATAGACATTTTTATAGGTGAAAGGAATGAGAGGGGAGTGAGTGAGTGAGAGGGAGGGGAGTGAGTGAGTGAGAGGGAGGGGAGTGAGTGCGTGTGGGGAAGTCTGGAGCAAGCATGGTCGGCTTAGTGTGCCATTGGCGTCTCTCGGTTACACACACACTCACACACACTGTTCCTCCAGGAGTACTCTGCCCCAACATCTCAGGTGAGCTGACCCCACGGGGATGACCTTTTTTGACCCCACACCACCCTCCTGACCCCACACCCCCATTCTGACACCCCCCCCCACTCACCTCTCAGCTGAGAGTAACACACACAACACTTCTGATTCCCAGTTCTTGACACACTGAATCAGTGTCAAGATCAGTACATGAAGAGCTATACTTTATACTAAGAGCTATACACCTGTGTATATTCCTGCATCTGTTGAGCTCTTGGGCCCCACCTGAGTCACTTTGTTCGTCTGAGTCACTTTGTTAGTCATGTCTTCAATCATCCAGTCTGTTCTCTCATCTCATACCTCCGATTCATTTGTTTTTACCCCTGAGATATGAGTTCCACGCTTTTGCTGCGTACGACACCGGTCTTAATCTGATTAGCGCCTCCTGTCTATCCCATGTAACCTTTGGTTACATCCGCCAGAGAAAGGGAGAGAGAGAGAGAGAGAGAGAGAGAGAGAGAGAGAGAGAGAGAGAGAGAGAGAGAGAGAGAGAGAGAGAGAGAGAGAGAGAGAGAGAGAGAAAGAGAGGCGAATGCCTCTTTACCTTCTCCTAGTAATTAAAAATAAAATAAAAATAAAACAATAAAAGTGTTTATTCAGGTAAATGTACATATATAGAAGATGAGTTACAAACATAATGTTGGCTTTATAGATAGAGCTAGTTCATACAATGCCTAAAGCCACTAATATACACAGCGTTTCGGGCACGGTGTGGGGGAAAAAATACTTTAACTAAAGCTTAATACTAATTGAGATTAAAGTATAAATTGTGTAGAGAAATGAAAAAGGGAGGGGGAGAACATGGCAGAAATCAGCAATTTTGCAACTTGGTCAACAAACAAAATTGTTTGAAAATAGCAAGACATGGGTTGACATTTAGGGGTAAGGTAGGTTACATGGAGTTTATTAGGCAGAACTTAGTTTTCCTCTTAAACTGATTGAAAGAGGTACAGCCTTTGACATGAATGGGAAGGCCATTCCATATTCTGGGTCCTTTGGTTTGTAGAGCATTTCTAGTTTGGTTATGGCTCACTCCTGGAATATCAAATAGGTATTTGTTTCTGGTGTGGTGCCCATGGGTTCTGTTACAACATTCTAGGAAGCGTTTAAGGTCAGGATTGACATTACAGTTCAGAGTTTTAAATATATATAGCATCCACATGAGAGGATGTGCAGTGACTTAATATCTAACATATTCAAAGATTTAAGTAATAAATAATTGTAATAATAAATAAATAACTAATTGTTAAGTAATTGTAAAATGAAATACGCATAAATCTCTTTTCCTATATAAAGGGTTTCGAAACGTTAGGAATTTCACTAATAAGGGTTTCGAAACGTTAGGAATTTCACTATCTCTAAGAGTGAGAGTGCACGGAGAGTGAGCTCGATGGTGAACTCCTGAGTCTGGCTATTTCCGGTTTTACTTGTTGACGCCATCTGGTAACATAGCGACGAATGGCTACTTGGAGCGCTGGTCGATTGGTTTGCAATATGAACAAGGTTTGTAGGTTCCGCACGCACACACACATACACACACACACACACATGCATGTATGTACACGCATACACACACACACACCGGGCGCCGGCAAGAAACGATGGGCAGAGTTTCTTTCACCCTATGCCCCTGTTACCTAACAGTAAATAGGTACCTGGGAGTTAGTCAGTTGTCACGGGCTGTTTCCTGGGGTATACGTGTGTGTGGGAAAAAATAGTAGTAGTAGAAACAGTTGATTGGCAGTTGAGAGGCGGGCCGAAAGAGCAGAGCTCAACCCCCGCAAGCACAACCAGGCGAATACACGCACACATGCATGTACACGCATACACACACACACACACACACACACACACACACGCGCCCATGTACACGCATACACACACGCGCCCATGTACACGCATACACACACACACACACACACGCGCGCGCCCATGTACACGCATACACACACGCGCCCATGTACACGCATACACACATATAAGAGTATAATGAAGCCAAGTGATTAGTGCAATCAACACACAACTGAATTATCTCGGCTTTGATTTCCAGACAGGACACGACGTTTGGGAATGTGCCCTTACACCCGGTACCTCTGTTTACCTAGAGGTACATAGGTACCCGGGAGTCTGGCAACCGTTATAGGTTGTGTGGGGAAGGTCAGACGTTGGACTAGGCCTAGGCGAACCTCGAAAACCATAACAGGTCTCTTGATTCAGGGAATGAAAATAAAAAATACGAGCACAGTGAGCGCCAGAACGTATAAAGAGGTTCCTCCAACGTCCAGAGCAAAGTAGGACAATCCAAGTCCTTTCAAAGCCAACCTAACCTAACTAAAGCCTAACTAAACCTAACCTAATCTACCATAGCCTATCGTAACCTTACCTAATCTATCCTATTCTAACCAATCTCACCTAGCCTAAAGAAAATAAGATGTTTAATGCAGGCGAAGAGTCACAATAACGTGGCTAAAGTAGGTTGACCAGACCACACACTAGAAGGTGAAGGGACGACGACGTTTCGGTCCGTCCTGGACCATTCTCAAATCGACTTGAGAATGGTCCAGGACGGACCGAAACGTCGTCGTCCCTTCACCTTCTAGTGTGTGGTCTGGTCAACATACTTAAGATGTTTAATGCTCACGTTGGTATAGGCTTTACATCCTACTGGAACTAAGACCAACTCTAAGCTATTCCACGGTCACGCCAGAACAACAGCGGTAAGGAAGCTTTGTGAAGGAGTATAATGCATGTGTTGGAGACGTAACCTTAAATTCCTGTGCTGGTGTTGGGTAGGTTATCTTGAGTTATCTCGAGTTGATTTCGGGGCTTTAGTGTCCCCGCGGTCCGGTCCTTGACCAGGCCTCCACCCCCAGGAAGCAGCCCGTGACAGCTGACTAACACCCAGGTACCTATTTACTGCTAGGTAACAGGGGCATTCAGGGTGAAAGAAACTTTGCCCATTTGTTTCTGCCTCGTGCGGGAATCGAACCCGCGACACAGAATTACGAGTCCTGCGCGCTATCCACCAGGCTACGAGGCATAAGACCTATTTATCATTCCCTCTCACTTTTGACTGCAGGAGCATGATAAAGTTGATGCCCTTGTTAAGCTTGCAGTAAATAAAAATAATGTTGGACGTAATCTTGAGCAATCGAATTAATTAAAGGTGTCATAAGTGTTACGGAAAAGAGCAGCGGCTAATTTAACTGGTGGAATGTCAATCACATTAAATAAAAAAAAGTAAAATCAAATAATTAAAACTGCTTCTGCTTCTAAATCTCTTTACGAGAGTGAGAATTGCGGGATAAAATCCAAAGAATGGAAAACTCAAATATTTTATATAACAAAAAAATGACTTGAGCAATAAATAAAACAAATCACCTATGATACTTGGCTAAAACAATGCAAAAGAAATATATGAAAAATATAAACATATGACAGTTACGTTAATAGCAAAATTATAAGGTACAAAATAATATATGCATAGCTGTTTGAGTCTACCGACACCCAGGGGAGCGAGAGTAGATCTTGCAGCTTGAGCACTGAAGAGTATTCTGAGGTCTAGCTGATTGATTGATTCATAAAGATTAAGCCACCCAAGAGGTGGCACGGGCATGAATAGCCCGTAAGTGGCCCTTTGGAGCCATTACCAGTATCATTAGCTGATACTGGAGATCTGTGGAGGTGCGACTGCACCCTACGGAAAAGGTCGTGACCTCTTAGGTCTAGCTGATTGATTGATTGATGAAGATTAAGCCATCCAAAAGGTGGCACGGGTATGAATCTAAATCATGAATCCACACACTAAGAGTATTTTAGTGACAAAATTTAAACGTTTAGATAAATGGTTCAGGTTTTTAGAGATATAAGTCAACACACCATGCACTAAACATTGCAGGAAATGGCAAACCATCTTATTACAAAGAATAAAATATCTGAAATCCTTGCACTGTATCTATGTTTCGCTGCTAGTAGATAAATAACAGTCATTTAATTATGAATATAATTACGACATACTGATTACAAGTAAAAGTATGTAGTGTGAAGACTAATGATAATAAACAGCAGCTCTTAAATGGCATTGTAATATCCCCATATCTAAATACTTTATGTATCAGCAAAAGACCTACCATCAATGCATAATAATTCACGTAAATACATAGATATTGCACTTTGTAACTAGCTGACATTACGATTATATGGTGTGCAGGTTAGATGATGATATTAATGTAATAAATTACGCTGAGGTCTAATAAGACCTTTGTGCCCTCTGTAATCCGTTTTGCGCAACCGCCCACAGGATGAGTATGGGGTATATATAGAAGATGAGTTACAAACATAATGTTGGCTTTATAGATAGAGCTAGTTCATACAATGCCTAAAGCCACTAATATACACAGCGTTTCGGGCACGGTGTGGGGGAAAAAATACTTTAACTAAAGCTTAATACTAATTGAGATTAAAGTATAAATTGTGTAGAGAAATGAAAAAGGGAGGGGGAGAACATGGCAGAAATCAGCAATTTTGCAACTTGGTCAACAAACAAAATTGTTTGAAAATAGCAAGACATGGGTTGACATTTAGGGGGTAAGGTAGGTTACATGGAGTTTATTAGGCAGAACTTAGTTTTCCTCTTAAACTGATTGAAAGAGGTACAGCCTTTGACATGAATGGGAAGGCCATTCCATATTCTGGGTCCTTTGGTTTGTAGAGCATTTCTAGTTTGGTTAAGGCTCACTCCTGGAATATCAAATAGGTATTTGTTTCTGGTGTGGTGCCCATGGGTTCTGTTACAACATTCTAGGAAGCGTTTAAGGTCAGGATTGACATTACAGTTCAGAGTTTTAAATATATATAGAATCCACATGAGAGGATGTGCAGTGACTTAATATCTAACATATTCAAAGATTTAAGTAATAAATAATTGTAATAATAAAATAAATAACTAATTGTTAAGTAATTGTAAAATGAAATACGCATAAATCTCTTTTCCTATATAAAGGGTTTCGAAACGTTAGGAATTTCACTAATAAGGGTTTCGAAACGTTAGGAATTTCACTATCTCTAAGAGTGAGAGTGCACGGAGAGTGAGCTCGATGGTGAACTCCTGAGTCTGGCTATTTCCGGTTTTACTTGTTGACGCCATCTGGTAACATAGCGACGAATGGCTACTTGGAGCGCTGGTCGATTGGTTTGCAATATGAACAAGGTTTGTAGGTTCCGCACGCACACACACATACACACACACACACACATGCATGTATGTACACGCATACACACACACACACCGGGCGCCGGCAAGAAACGATGGGCAGAGTTTCTTTCACCCTATGCCCCTGTTACCTAACAGTAAATAGGTACCTGGGAGTTAGTCAGTTGTCACGGGCTGTTTCCTGGGGTATACGTGTGTGTGGGAAAAAATAGTAGTAGTAGAAACAGTTGATTGGCAGTTGAGAGGCGGGCCGAAAGAGCAGAGCTCAACCCCCGCAAGCACAACCAGGCGAATACACGCACACATGCATGTACACGCATACACACACACACACACACACACACACACACACGCGCCCATGTACACGCATACACACACGCGCCCATGTACACGCATACACACACACACACACACACGCGCGCGCCCATGTACACGCATACACACACGCGCCCATGTACACGCATACACACATATAAGAGTATAATGAAGCCAAGTGATTAGTGCAATCAACACACAACTGAATTATCTCGGCTTTGATTTCCAGACAGGACACGACGTTTGGGAATGTGCCCTTACACCCGGTACCTCTGTTTACCTAGAGGTACATAGGTACCCGGGAGTCTGGCAACCGTTATAGGTTGTGTGGGGAAGGTCAGACGTTGGACTAGGCCTAGGCGAACCTCGAAAACCATAACAGGTCTCTTGATTCAGGGAATGAAAATAAAAAATACGAGCACAGTGAGCGCCAGAACGTATAAAGAGGTTCCTCCAACGTCCAGAGCAAAGTAGGACAATCCAAGTCCTTTCAAAGCCAACCTAACCTAACTAAAGCCTAACTAAACCTAACCTAATCTACCATAGCCTATCGTAACCTTACCTAATCTATCCTATTCTAACCAATCTCACCTAGCCTAAAGAAAATAAGATGTTTAATGCAGGCGAAGAGTCACAATAACGTGGCTAAAGTAGGTTGACCAGACCACACACTAGAAGGTGAAGGGACGACGACGTTTCGGTCCGTCCTGGACCATTCTCAAATCGACTTGAGAATGGTCCAGGACGGACCGAAACGTCGTCGTCCCTTCACCTTCTAGTGTGTGGTCTGGTCAACATACTTAAGATGTTTAATGCTCACGTTGGTATAGGCTTTACATCCTACTGGAACTAAGACCAACTCTAAGCTATTCCACGGTCACGCCAGAACAACAGCGGTAAGGAAGCTTTGTGAAGGAGTATAATGCATGTGTTGGAGACGTAACCTTAAATTCCTGTGCTGGTGTTGGGTAGGTTATCTTGAGTTATCTCGAGTTGATTTCGGGGCTTTAGTGTCCCCGCGGTCCGGTCCTTGACCAGGCCTCCACCCCCAGGAAGCAGCCCGTGACAGCTGACTAACACCCAGGTACCTATTTACTGCTAGGTAACAGGGGCATTCAGGGTGAAAGAAACTTTGCCCATTTGTTTCTGCCTCGTGCGGGAATCGAACCCGCGACACAGAATTACGAGTCCTGCGCGCTATCCACCAGGCTACGAGGCATAAGACCTATTTATCATTCCCTCTCACTTTTGACTGCAGGAGCATGATAAAGTTGATGCCCTTGTTAAGCTTGCAGTAAATAAAAATAATGTTGGACGTAATCTTGAGCAATCGAATTAATTAAAGGTGTCATAAGTGTTACGGAAAAGAGCAGCGGCTAATTTAACTGGTGGAATGTCAATCACATTAAATAAAAAAAAGTAAAATCAAATAATTAAAACTGCTTCTGCTTCTAAATCTCTTTACGAGAGTGAGAATTGCGGGATAAAATCCAAAGAATGGAAAACTCAAATATTTTATATAACAAAAAAATGACTTGAGCAATAAATAAAACAAATCACCTATGATACTTGGCTAAAACAATGCAAAAGAAATATATGAAAAAATATAAACATATGACAGTTACGTTAATAGCAAAATTATAAGGTACAAAATAATATATGCATAGCTGTTTGAGTCTACCGACACCCAGGGGAGCGAGAGTAGATCTTGCAGCTTGAGCACTGAAGAGTATTCTGAGGTCTAGCTGATTGATTGATTCATAAAGATTAAGCCACCCAAGAGGTGGCACGGGCATGAATAGCCCGTAAGTGGCCCTTTGGAGCCATTACCAGTATCATTAGCTGATACTGGAGATCTGTGGAGGTGCGACTGCACCCTACGGAAAAGGTCGTGACCTCTTAGGTCTAGCTGATTGATTGATTGATGAAGATTAAGCCATCCAAAAGGTGGCACGGGTATGAATCTAAATCATGAATCCACACACTAAGAGTATTTTAGTGACAAAATTTAAACGTTTAGATAAATGGTTCAGGTTTTTAGAGATATAAGTCAACACACCATGCACTAAACATTGCAGGAAATGGCAAACCATCTTATTACAAAGAATAAAATATCTGAAATCCTTGCACTGTATCTATGTTTCGCTGCTAGTAGATAAATAACAGTCATTTAATTATGAATATAATTACGACATACTGATTACAAGTAAAAGTATGTAGTGTGAAGACTAATGATAATAAACAGCAGCTCTTAAATGGCATTGTAATATCCCCATATCTAAATACTTTATGTATCAGCAAAAGACCTACCATCAATGCATAATAATTCACGTAAATACATAGATATTGCACTTTGTAACTAGCTGACATTACGATTATATGGTGTGCAGGTTAGATGATGATATTAATGTAATAAATTACGCTGAGGTCTAATAAGACCTTTTGTGCCCTCTGTAATCCGTTTTGCGCAACCGCCCACAGGATGAGTATGGGGTGCATAATAAACTCGCTCAATCAGATCCCAGTGCATATACACCGAGAAGCAGGTTACACCCCTCGGTGTAAATATGACCTGAAGCCATTGTGTAACTTGGACTTTTTAACATACGATATTATTGCTGTTTTAAAGTTCCTGCCTCTGGAGTTGTTGAAATTATTACCGTTCTTTTACAATATTTTCATGGAGGAATGGTAATTTCAATACGCACAGAATAACTTTCAGTTCTTACTTAAACCATAATGCTAGGTCACCCTCAGTTAACAGTTTTGTTGTTTTTCTATATTTACATAGTTACTAGGTACTCATTTTTATTGCAAGGATATTGTACTATTTATGCAACAATATATATATATATATATATATATATATATATATATATATATATATATATATATATATATATATATCTATAGATATATAGAGATATATATAGATATAGATATATGTGTGTATATCACGAAAATAAACACGTGATTAAGAATGTGACAATGTCAGACCACGGAGGATTTCCTGTTTCATTTTCCTCCGTGGTATGACATTGTCATATATATATATATATATATATATATATATATATATATATATATATATATATATATATATATATATATATATATATATATATATATATATCATTCAACTCCACTACGGGCTCACCATAGCCCGTGCTACTTGGAACTTTTTGTTCCAGGTAGCGAATCTTAAACAACAAGATGTATCATTCACCTTTAAGACTATCCGCGAGCACCTGTCTTCTGACACGAGAGGCAACCTTTACCGACTATATTACCATGGATATATATATATATATATATATATATATATATATATATATATATATATATATATATATATATATACACACTGAGAAATAGGTGTTTCTCAGCCGAACACCAAGCCAACAATTATTTGCTTCTTAATACCATTGTTGTGTTGCATTTCATTAACCCAATGTTTCCTGGTCTGTGTAATCCTCAGTGTTGCTTGGGCTCCTTAACCGTCATTCTAACTTCATGCTCCGACAACTTTATATTGATCTGGACCCTGTAACACCCTGGACCCCGACCCTGTAACAACGCTCAACTCTACGCTCTTATATCCTATAGGACCGCGATGAGGATTGTCGTAAAATAGTAAGTAACTATCAGGTGTAACTATTTGTATAATGCACTTGTTATTGGATTAATAGGGCAGAGATTAATAGTACACTAAATAGTACACAAATTGGATTAATAGTACACTAAAACAGCTGCCTATGGTTATGCATCTATGCTGGTTAGCATTGTAAATGTGTGGCCACGTCTGTGGTAGAAAAAAAAAAAAAGCTGCCTAAAAATCTGATCTTAGCATTTAGGGTTTGACCTAACTACAAAGGTAATTGTATGAAAAAGAAAGATCTAGGCTAGTGATAACCTTTCACCACTCGTGTGGACCTTTGTGATTCCGCGATTCTGATTCTTTTATTTATTTATTTATTTATATACAAGAAGGCACATTGAGTCCGTGAGAATACATAGCACGGTAATCTACAATCTTGTCGAGCCACTAGTACGCGCAGCGTTTCGGGCAGGTCCTTAACCTAACAGATAATTTTAAGTAGGTAACCTAGTAATATCACTATGATATGGGAACTTTTTCAATCTCAAACAATATTGAAATTAAAAATATCAGTAGGAGCCATAAGGAGGATTCGAACCTATGTTTTGGGTACTCCCAAGCAAACACCTTAAACCACTACACCACGACTTGATAAAAAACAATATAACCTGGGATTAAAGTGAATCCTTTAGGGCTCCTGAGGCTTACATTGAAGCCTAACTGAGGTTTCATACATTGTCCCAATGCAGTCTGGTTTGTAGTCTATGAATTCTGTCTTCTACGCTTCTCTTCAAATATACAAAGAAATCACATTAACGTGAAGTATCAATGAGAAAATCAATGGGAGCTATGACTAGGATTCGAACCTATGCTCTGGGTACGCCAAACCAAACGCCCTGGACCACAACACTACGACATGGCAGGAGGAAACACAGTACGTTGTACTACACACTCATCCAGTATATTATAATATATAAATACAACTTCATCAGTATATATTCTAGCACTTAATGATGAGGTGGCTATCATGTTAATTCAAATTCTGTTACAATGTACCCATCATTACACTTATTTGTTAGCATAAGGACCTGCCCGAAACGCTCAGCGTGCTAGTACAAGAATGATCACATACTCACCAACATATGTACTTTCACAACCCATTGTACCTTCTTGTACATAAATAAGTAAATAAAACCACTTAACCTAAGTTAGACCTAACTACTCAGCACATACTACTATGAAATAATATTACCGTTTTGCGAGAAAAAACAAATTTAGAATACGATGTAGCCCGTTAAAATTTGTTATTGTGTTCCTCTGTGCGTCCTCAGTCGCTCAGACGAGCCAAGCCTGAGGACAGATTGGTGCTAGTTAAGTAGCGTTCAATCTTGGGGGAACATAGTATAAAAAACAAATCCACAAAGGCCGTGACAAGGATTCGAACCTACATCTGTGAGCATCCCAGACGCTGCCTTAATCGACTGAGCTACGACATGGTTAAAATATAGTGTACATAGTATAAAAAGTCTCGTTTATTTGATTGACAAAAAAATTACTAATATTACACATAATAATAATATTGCATTTTTTCAGTGGACTCGGCTCAATATTCTTTGCTACTGCAGTGGTGTATTTAGAGTACACTGAACACTTGCCTAGATTCAATGAACTGTTGGCCATCCTTAACTACAATACAAGCACCCCGTAAGTACAGCCACCTACGTAACGTTAGCCGAGTAGGTTAGTGTAATTTTGCTATTATATATATATATATATATATATATATATATATATATATATATATATATATATATATATATATATATATATATATATATATATATATATATATATGCAATTGGCTATCATTAAACACTGATCATTTGTATGCGGAAAATCCAGAGAAATGGAGATGAACGTTTCGGCCGATCTGGGCCTTTGTCAACACCGGACTCCAGTCAGTCCGGTGTTGACAAAGGCCCAGATCGGCTGAAACGTTCATCTCCATTTCTCTGTGGATTTTACGCATATATATATATATATATATATATATATATATATATATATATATATATATATATATATATATATATATATAACTGAAAACTCACACCCCAGAAGTGACTCGAACCCATACTCCCAGGAGCAACGCAACTGGTATGTACAAGACGCCTTAATCCACTTGACCATCACGACCGGACATAATGAGGTGATAGCCGAGGCTATTATGTCCGGTCGTGATGGTCAAGTGGATTAAGGCGTCTTGTACATACCAGTTGCGTTGCTCCTGGGAGTATGGGTTCGAGTCACTTCTGGGGTGTGAGTTTTCAGTTGCATATTGTCCTGGGGACCATTCAGGCTTGTTCGCATTTGTGTTCCTCACGTGTGCCCCAAAGAATGAGGTAATTTGGTAAAATGCTATGCCCAAGATTACTATCCGAGTGCCGGCGGTGGGGTGGTTCAAATAGCCTCGGCTATCACCTCATTATGTCCGGTCGTGATGGTCAAGTGGATTAAGGCGTCTTGTACATACCAGTTGCGTTGCTCCTGGGAGTATGGGTTCGAGTCACTTCTGGGGTGTGAGTTTTCAGTTGCATATTGTCCTGGGGACCATTCAGGCTTGTTTGCATATATATATATATATTTTTTTTTTTTTGATGTTGAATACATATATTCTGATGTTGATTGATGTTACCACGTTAGCGAAATATAGCCACTTAAGTAAGATTATCTCAGGGTTCATGTACACGTGTATTTCTTTGTTCCAATACACTATTCGTCACTAGTGACAATTGAGATTATTGAGATTAGAAAACCCTCAACACATAACTGATGTTTTATGCCTAGTATTTTAAATTTGTTGATATGAATAGATCGGATTAGCTAAAGATATTGTCTATAAATATTAGATAAACCAAAATATAAGTCGATTCACATTACTGACATGCTGCCAGCCCGTATTAAGCAAACTCTCAAATATAAATTTAAAATTTATTGCTAGTTTAATGATTTGAAATGATCTTTTCAAATAGTTTCACAATAGCCTTATGTTCCATACAGGCTCGTGAATAACACTCAGAAAACGAAAGAAGTCAAGGGGGATGATTCAGCTTTCATTAAGCTCTTGCATGAGCCAACATCTCACCCACTAGCTTCAAGGATTCCACAACATGAGGTTACCAGTAAGCCTCCACTACTCGAAATTAATGTAAACGACTCTCATATAACAAGGAAAGGAAAAAGTAATGTCCCAAATGTTAATGCGACAGGGCAGAAACCAGTATCGCATATGCCATCTTTGAAGACTCTACAAGAAATAAGTATCACTATGCCTCCGCTTTCTACCAATAGCGTGAATATCCCACAGAAAACATTCGTTCATCCTCCAGTTTCGGAAGCTCCACAAGGCATAAGTACCGTTCGGCCTCTGCTTGAGCTGGGGGATTCAAATCTTCCCTATGATGACTTGAATCCCGAGAATATAACCTCAAAACCCGTGGACGTGAATTACGAAAAATTCAAGAACATGGACAAACTCGACCCATATAATCCGCCACTAAAGAAGATTTTGTTCTGGAATGAAGTAAGTGAACTCTCATTGTTAAGATATTGTCGAATCTTCATATGGTTTATATACTTACCATTATTCAATGGCCTTTACCGCAAAACGAATTTATTTGTGTAATGTAAACGTATTTACTTATTATTTATTTTTGTACTTATTGGTTTGGTGTTATGCTTAATGTATATCAACTTCCGGAGGGTTATTAATGACCTAATTTTTTTCTAATCAGCAGGTATGACCCAGCTCTAGACATACACCAAATAAACAGTTAACTCAGATTACTCAGATGAATATTATTAATAATTGTGTATACAATTCTAATTTTTAAGCCGATTTGTTTTTCTCATATATAAAGAATTTTACTGAACACTTAATGTATTTTCAGGTTTTTGGAGATCAATCCTTTTGGTTCGGGTTTGGTCGGGAGCCGTTCCTGCGGGCGGGGTGTCCCGTGAACACCTGCATGACTACGTCAAACCGATCCAGGTTCCCTCTTAAGGATATTGACGCTGTATTGTTTCACTACCGGTCCGGGGATATTTCCTTTCCTAAAGAGCGGTAAGACTTATTATTTCCACAGCCTAATTATGCCCTTAAAGATTATAATAGACACGCATAGTATCTAATGTCTCTCCTTGCAGGTTCGTAGAAAAAAAAAACATTTCAGGGAGAGGCTTGACTTTTTCACATACGACTCACAATGCAACACATTCATTGCTCCTTTGAACAAGTCGTTGATGTTAATCTATAAATATAGTTACTGATACCAATTGAAGGTTTTTAAGTTCTACTGATTGCAAATATTGTAACAGCTGCAGTCTTCATATAACTCATATTTTGAAGGATAGTAGAGTTGGCTTCGTTCTCGAATCACATTTGGGGGATCCCGGGTTCGATTCCCGGGCGGGACAGAAATGATTGCGCACGTTTAATTTCACCTAATGTCTCTGTTCACCAACAGCAAATAAGTACCTAGGAGTTAGAAAACTGTTGTGGGGTGGTACCCTAAGTCAGTATTTCGACCTAGGGTTGGGACCTGTGTGTGTGTGTGTGTGTGTGTGTGTGTGTGTGTGTGTGTGTGTGTGTGTGTGTGTGTGTGTGTGTGTGTGTGTGTGTAGCTAATACATAGAAATGATATAAGACAACAGTTTTCAGAAGTCTCGTCAGATGTTGATTTAACTGTTCCTGCCGGAAGCGGCTAGGTTATTGTGTACCCCATACTCATCCTGTGAGCGGTAGCGCAAAAAGGATTACAGAGGGCACAAAAGGTCTTTATGAGACATCAACGGAGATTATTACATAAACAATTTCATCTACCCTTCAAACCTTATAATTATAATGTCAGCTAGTTACAGAGAATGTTATATTTCAGAAACCTCAAAGTACCGGTATATATTTTTTATAGATTGCTTAATAAATAACTAAGCTCCTAGTGATATGAATAACGGGTGAAATGACCTACTAGAAAATTACTGAAGGTGTAAGTAAAAATTATGCAAGGGCTTTGAATACAATACACATTTCAAAATGTATAATACAATAAATGCGATAAAGATATGCAGTACGAAGCTTGCCTTACAAGTTGTCGGCTTTTAATGTTTAATAATCATTTATCATATGTAAATTTATAATAAAAACTTCAGTGAAACTTTGCTTTCTGTTTTCGCAGGTTCCTCCATACCCGCTACGTATTCTGGCTGATGGAGTCTCCAGCCCATCTGTTTAGAAACATTGAACCTTACACCAATATCTTCAACTGGACATTTACCTACAGATTGGACTCTGATTTCGCAATGCCGTATGTAGCTATGATGACAAATTTACACAAAACTATAATTTTTATCAATTTGGTTTATTGTTTTTAAGCAAAAAGTTTTAAATCTTTGAGTATAATGGGTTTAAGAATATAGGACAGTTCAATTTTAGCAAGGTTCTCCTATTGTCATTTCTATGTACTGTATACTCAAATAATGCATTTATTACATTGGTGGTAATCCTTTGTAATGTGTACACTGTCATGTTCTTAATTGTTTAAAAGACCAAGTCTCGCTAAGTTCCCTTGTTGGCAACTTTATTATGTGATTTTTTTTTTTTGTAAGAGGGTGACAACAGGTTTTAAAACCTATCAACCCAACACAACATCACTTAAGAAAGCCTAACTTAATAACATGGTTTTTAACAACTAGAAAACGAGCTCATTGCGTAAATCCTGTGTACGTTTGACAATATCCTGACAGACGGCCTTTCATTTGTGAAACAAATATTATTTCATGAAAGTCTCCAAAGTAAATCAACATCATTTTATAGATATAAAAGAACAATAAAACATTGACTTAATCTTTACTTTTGGTTGCCAGGTATGGCAGGGTATACCGCCGCCGGAAGCCCCTCGAACCCATTGATAAGAACTACGCAGCCAACAAAACCAAGATGGCTGCCTGGTTCGTCTCCAACTGCAATACCATCGGTGGGCGCAAAGTGTAAGCAAATACACTATTCTCCTATTTATGTGTGTAAATCACGAAAAATAAATACGTGATTAAAAATGTGATAGTGTCAGACCACGGAGGAAAATTGAAACAGGAATTTCCTTAAGTACTTTCGTATATTAATACATCTTCAGAAGGAGTGGTTTTACAGGTCGAGTACTGGATAGGCAGGAGAGAATGGTGGAGTGAGGCGAGGTACAGTAAGTGGACAAATATCTCCTATTTATGTATAATCTTTGTTCGAATAAATATGCTTGATTAATAAACCTGTATAAAATATATATGTTTCACATTTTAGTATTTATGGGAACACGAACTCAAGTTAAAAATAGATTAATAAAGTTGACAATTCGACTTCAAGAAGTTTATCAAAGTTCTATATACTAATCATTGTAATCGTCCGATGAAATTAAAAACCGGAGCAATCCTGTTGTAACCATGATGTACATGGTCAGAACTGTGTTTTACCAGATTCCCTGCGGTGTTCAGGTACTGACTACCAGGTCCAATTTATTCTGAACGTTCATTATACTAGGCTGGTGGAGATTCACGTAAGACTGAAACACACTGTTCAGGTGAAACACTGTTCCCTAGCACCATAATGCTGATTGGAACAACAACACGTACGTCAGTTTAATGTATTTTAGCGGGTATTCAAGCCATAAACCTGCATGCCATAATAACACTGATATCCTAGTATGACAGTGTCAGACCACGGAGGAAAATTGAAACAGGAATTTCCTTAAGTACTTTCGTATATTAATACATCTTCTGAAGATGTATAAATATACGAAAGTACTTAAGGAAATTCCTGTTTCAATTTTCCTTCGTGGTCTGACACTGTCATATTTTTAATCACATGTTTATTGTCTCAAAAATTAAGTCTTCTAACCTTAAGTGATATTTACCGATTGGTCTATTTTAATCTTAAATCCACTTCAGGGTTTCATTAATTCGTAATGTATAAACATTGAAACCTCCCCCCGGCCAAGATACGAACCTTGGCCAAATCGCTCAGGAAGCGCGGGGCGTGGCGAATGTGTAGCCACTGCGCCACATTCCCGGACAATGTTCAGGACTGGAGTATATTTGTTGGTTGGCCAGTAAGCATGTGTGTGGCTTTAATAATCTTCCGGAGGTTGATAGGCCTTTAGTTGGACACTAAGAACAAATATATACACTGAATTTGCTATGGGCTTAAGTGATCTATGTCCAGAAATAAAATATACTTGCCTATTGGTTAGTAAGGTATTGCTAACACCCACTCAAGGGTTGTTAGCGCCCTATCAACCACTCAAGGGTGCTAACAACCATGAGTGGTTGATAGGCCTTAGGATCAAACCTAAAGTATACTTTAATTCTGAACATAGTTCAGGACTATAGCAAACTTTCAAATGTATATACACAAATAAAAAGGGTACACACTGTTGATAAACAATATATTAAAATTGTAAAATACTGAATACTAATAGATTTTACCCACAACATTTAACCCTCTTGCCTGTTATCTTCAAAAGGCTGGTCAGTACGTTGAGACAATGGCTCCAGATTGACCAGTACGGTGGCTGTGGAGAACTCAAGTGTGGGAAACACGAAGCAAGAAAGTGTTACGCTATGCTTTCTGCAAACTACAAGTTCTACTTCTCGTTTGAGAACTCTCTCTGCCGAGATTATGTGACAGAAAAGCTCTTCAATATATTAAGGTACTTTGTTGGTCAACACAAAAAGTATTATGGATAGGTTTGTCAATATATGAAGGAGCATTCAAAATTTCTAAACGCCTCATAATAATTGTGAAATCATACTCTGAATTCATAGTTTTGCAAATCTTTTATCTAGTTGGTGGCTTATGTTTCTTGCATCCACTTGAACTAGTCAGAATAAGGCAGACCAGTTCTGTCATCATAATCTTTCCATATGCTATATAGTGCTTTATCCTAATTATTATCTTATGAGATAATATAAATGCATGATTTTCCAACTAAACAGACCGTTGGTTAAAATTTTAGAATCTGTATTTTCACAGGTACTCAAACATCAGTTAGTGATTTTTTCCTTTGTTTAACCTATATAAATATGTCCATGCTATCATTATATATTTTAAGAGGTAATTAAATTAGGAACGGCGTTGTATTAACATATAATGCGTTTGGAAGTTCAGTAATGACTATATGGCGGTCAAGAATCTTCTGCACTTGAATATATTGTCTGTGGAGAGTCAGGTAATGTAGAGTTAAAGGAAGTAGGGCCTAACACACGAAAAAAGCATGTACACTCCCACGTCATCACTACTCTGTTTAAACAAATCGAACTTATCCTACCAGAACTTAACTAAAATAAGAGACACAGCATATTGTATTTTTTATGTAGGGTGTATATGACATCATTATTACGTCATAATGTTTACGTCGATAGAGATTTCAGATTCTGCTGATTAAAACTGTACAGTTCGTACCCTAATGCAGGGTAGACGTGGTTCCCGTGGTGTATGGACTAGCCAACTTATCAGTTCAGGCGCCGCCACACTCCTACATTGACGCTCTCAGCTTCCCCACAGCCAAGGCGCTGGCTGACTACCTCATCTACCTCAACAACAATGACACCGCCTACAATGAGTACTTCAGGTAAGTCCGAGAGCGTCTTAACCAGTTTATTGCTTTTCAATTTATTACACAATTTTCTGGAGATCTTAAAATTATTATCAACTATCTAATTTTTTATTTCTTTGAGGACTTTGTAATATAACATTCACTACGTCCGTTAATTTGCCAAGTTTTATATAAGATAATAATAATTGAATATAATAATAATTCTAATTAATATAATTACTATTAACACTTTAAAGCGCGCCGGCCCCGTGAAAAAAAAAACTAGTGCATTGCGCGCGTGGCTTTTTGGGCTCTTGAGCGTAAACACCAAAAAGTATGTAATCTTTTCACTCTCCTGACACCAATTCTCGAGCTACGTATTTCATTTTGGTATCAATGTGTTGGCAATAAAATTCTCTACAAGATAATATGTATAATATGTCACCAAAGCATTAGCTATCCCACCACGAAATAAATAAAACGTAGATCACTCGCCGTGACGCCCAAACAACAACAAAATGTTCATACTCTTTTGTTTGTTGTTAGCTCCACATTAGTCCTACAGCGTTATCTTTTATATCACTGAACTCGCAATAAAATTCCCTACACAGACATATGCATATAAATGTAGAATCATGATCGCGGCCCACACCAAGAGTGTGTGAAGTGGGCGATTACCCGCGTTGTGTCAACTCAATAGTCTCTCCTCTAAGTTACAATACAATGCCGTTTTCTCAAATAGGCCATATGCCTATTAGAGAAAACGGAAATTTAATGGCAAACATTTTCATACTAACCCCAAGTCGATCGAATAAGAATTGGATTTATATTTTTTTTTTTAGATTGGCCGGCTATTTACGGCGCGGTTGCGGAACCCGTTAGCCGAGTGGGCTGTATATTTACGGTCCGGTTGCATTAAATAACTTATTAAATTTCAACGTATCACCTGGCAAAAAGACTTAACGAACTCCTAACACCCGACCACGGGAGACATCTCCCGTCACGCAGGGTGCAGTCGCACCTCCACAGATCTCCAGTATCAGCTCTTGATACTGGTAATGGCCCAAAAGGGCCACCACTTATGGGCTATTCATGCCCGTGCCACCTTTTGTGTGGCTTAATCTTCATCAATCAATCAATCTATTAAATTTATTATTATTCTTATATTAAAAACTTAACTGCCTTACCCAACAGGTCTGTAATACGAGTGACAATCATAATTACAATAATAATAATTATGACTTTAGCCTTTTAAGTCTAAAAAGGGTATAAGCTGGAACATTTCTCCCCAGATGGAAAAGGTTTCACCAGATTCCAAGTGACTGGTTAAACTTTGCCAAGCCGTACTGTGACATGTGCGAGAGACTCCACAACGACAACACCACTAAAATGTACGACTTGCTGAAGTGGTACGTCGACGACGCCCACTGCAAGACTCGGCACGACAAGGACATCAGCAACTTCATTAGTGGGTAAGACATCCCCCCTGCGTCAATTATCAATTATTGTGTACTTCAGCAGTCTTTATCTGCGTCAAGTGGCGGCGAAAATGTGTCCTAAAGAGTAAAAACTAACATTGTCCACTTGTGTGAGTTAGAAAGAATGAATGTACAAAGTATTGTGTGTTGCGTGTGTTGCTATCAGACGTTTAATGTTGTGTTTTCTGCATATCTATACAGCCATAGAAGAATACATTTACCTGGGAACATTGGTGTATGTGTGTGTGTGTGTTTACGTATGAGTATGTGGGTGTTTGTCAATAAAGTGTGTAATTGTGAGCATATATACATCACTCAGAGTGTGAGTTACTAAGAGATCTTCGGAATACAATCATTTAAAGAACCGACTACAGGTACAATTGTAAGCCTTGCGCATTTTATCTCGAACTATGCAATTTGTCTAAAATACATTTAACGCAGATTTATTGTAATTATTTTAAGGCTAAAAATGTTTCTAAGAGTTTATTCAATACACTAGCTTTCAGCGAGTGAACAAATGTTTAGCATAACGCTCGCTGGCAACTATGAATTGTTTCCATTTAACATGTAACAGAAGAAATACTTTATTTTACAGGCGATAGGCGTACAACACCTCGATGAACTTCTTCTACACCATAAGCATTTCCTCTTGAAGAATAAAATACCAAAGACACGAAGGCTCCGAAGTTAGCAACGGAGTTTCAGTTTCAGCTTCAGTTTCGAAAATTAGCAAAGCTTCGAGTGGAAAGAATGGCGTGTATACGGCCCAGTGGACGACGTATCGAGTCGTCGTCCTGAAGACGTACTCTTGTAGACTACTTTTTGTCCTCAACTCTGAAGCTCAATTTAACTGGGGAAATTAAGTCTTTTCTTACCTTGAGGAACTGGAGAAGGTTGTGGCCAAGTTCAGCTGAGGTTTCTGACGCATTTGGCAACTGTGGAAGATAGACACTAAACATTAAACACTTATTGAAAAAATAACACATTATAGTATAACAAAACTGCTCAAGTGTGCCTTGTCGAACTTAATCAGAGATTAGGTAACCTACTAACCCGTCCTGCTGGTAATGTATGTCCTTGGTAATGTATGTCCAGATATGAATATGATGGAAATTGTGCCCAATACCTTTGACTGCTGCGCCTGTGTGACCTCAGTTTTGCATTTATAAACAAGGGGTTTGGCGGGTACATAGATATCCACGGGCTCACCATAGCCCGTGCTGCTTGGAACTGCTTGTTCCGGGTAGCGAATCTTTAACAACAACAACAACAACGGGTACATAGAATGGACTTTGGCCTTTGTTTATGAGCCCAGGCTGATTGACTTACGACTGCTGTATCACTTCGAATAACGGTAGTTATTCGATAGTGGTATTCGGTAGTTATGAACCAATACAATTGCATGAAATGTTTATTTCCAAGGAAGTGTGAATGCCAATTAACCTAACCTATCGGCCCACGCAAATAAAAACAAAACAAAAAACCGTGAAAGTTTGTGAATGATATATAGTAACCTTTTTATTTGTTTGTTGGGGATTTTGACGTCAAAATTATTCAAATTTTGAATATATTATTCAAATATTTTATTATTATTCATATATTGAATAATTAATATATTGTATTATTAATGCAATATAAATATTGTATTAATAATACAATATATTATTCAATATATTGTATTATTCAAAAAGACAAGTTGCAGTTGTAGCGACAACTTCAAACCCTCTTCTGTTTTATGAAGGAGGTTGATACTTATTTATTATTTAGACTGAATACGGGTCTACGATTAGCTTTCGAATGTCTGTTATTATGTCTCAATATTCATTAGATAATTTAATGTACGCGTGTTATTTAAATATATATATGAAGATTTTTAAGAAATTAAAATTTTTTAGGAAAATTTAGTTTAATTGACCACAGGGATGGTGAGGAAGAATAATGACGGTAATAAAAAAAGGATTAATTACGGAAATAAGTTGATGATTGAAGAGGAAATAAGAAAATGGCTTCAAGTTATTGAGACTTTACTATACAGGTGGCCGCCTATGGGGTATATGGAACGACCGACCTCGTGGTAATCGACATACATATAAATGGACGTAAATATATGGAAGACAGTTGCTCACCTCGAGCTGAAAGTCTTCTGGGAGGGGCGGGTTGAAGCAATGCGATGGCTTCTCAGGGGCGAGGATGGGCGAGGTCCAATGATAGCTGGCCAATACGGGTGCCGGATAGACTCGGCACGATAACCAAAGTCCAGGGGAACGTTTCTAACAGGTCCAGCTGCGAACAGGTGCGGGTCTTCTCTGCCTCCTGGCGTGCCGGGGGTGGAGTGGGGGGGGAGATGCGCACAGTCACTGCGCAGGGCCGCCGTCCACCAATCAGGAGCACCTAACATAAGAGATATTCCCGCTGGCGGGCACTTTGAATGTGGTTTACTTGGTTTACTCCACATTACAAAAGAATTTATAGAATTCTTTTTATAATAATAATAATAATAATAATAATAATAATAATAATAAATAATAATAATACTTTATTTAGGCAAAAGTACCTCACAGGCATGTAGCTCATACAACATGAGTTACAAGCAGAATGTTGGATTTCTAAAAAAACGAGTTAGTACACAGTGGTACAGTCGATTAAGGCGCGTCTGGGATCCTCTCGGACGTAGGTTCGAATCCTCATCACGGCCCTTGTGGGTTTATTCATCTAGTATACTATGCCTATAAAGCCACTAATACGCACAGTGTTTCGGTTCATTCTTGGTCTGATATCATAATAATTACTAAAGCAATTGCATGAAAGACGTTGAGCGTTGAAATTTCGAAGATGGTTATAGTTATCGTTAACAATTAGCTACTTTTATTATTAACATCTTTATCGACAAAATTTAATTACAATTTTGCCTAATCTGAGGATTTCAATTAAGTCTTATTAAAGTGAGGATAATGCTGGTATTCACTGTCACGCAGGACAGAGGGTCATACACAAGACAATAGGTCTAAACTGTAGGCTGAAGCACATATATATCATGGTTACAATCAATGTTGTATGAATATGTAAAATCTACTTTCTATTGTGCACTGCCACACAAGGGCAGGGATGGGTTCATAAGAGATGCAGCTTAACTTGGCTACAATGATCGCTTTGTAGGTCCACCATGGCGAATCTTGACTCGAATGGCCATGATTCACAATCACTAAAACTTTGATCATTGCAGTTATATTTTTGTTGTATGACAGGTTATAAAAGTTATTTCAAACACACTTGATTCATGGAGATCAATATGTGTGCCCCTAACATGGACTTAGACTCTCTTACAAGGGTGAGTCTACTTAGTAGAGTAAATACTAAGTAGAGTGGATACTAAGTAGAGTTTACTTAGACTCTTCTACAAGAAAAAAAGATGCCAGACTTGCAATATTCCTATTGTTATTGCTATTGTTCTAATAGCGAAAAGACAAGATCATTTGTCATTTGTGAACAGAAAAGTGTGGAGGGGACAGTAAATTATTTGTGGACAGTTTTGTGGACAGTAAATAGGTGATGGTGAAACAGATGAGTATGATGAGTGTGGTGGACAATTGATGGTGGGTAGAGAGGGGGAGGGATGAGTGACTAGAGAGGTCAAGGTGGTGAGGTGAAGCTTAACAATGGTTAAGTTGGTTAATATAATGGTCATGTCCGCAAACCATCGACTATATTGCTCGAACCTAGCCTACCACAGGACCCACGAACAGAAAACGGGACAATACGTCAATTTCGCAAGGCGCTACCATTTTCAATACATCAATTTTTGAGCCTTGTGGAAATTGTCCGTCAAAATGCGATGTACCATTAGGGGAACGGGTCACCCCCCCCCCGTCCTCTTGAATAGTGCATCGTATTTTGACGTATAAATTCCCTCGGACCAAAAACTGATTTACTAAAAATCACAGTGGCTCGCAAAATTGACGTATATCCTATTTTCTATTCGTGTATCCTAGGCTAGGTTAGGTCCGGACAATTTAGTACATCAGTTTAGTGACAAATAGGAACGCTAGAGAGAACGGCGGGCTGGTCAATGAGAGTGTGAGGTGAATCTGGAGCTGCCAAGGTCGGCTCAGTCTCTCAGCGGTGTCTTCCCGCTTCACACCGTTGTTCTGGGAAGGAACTGCCACATCTCTCAGGTGAGAGTAGCCAATCATCATCCAAAAAATAATAGTACATAAGTGGATTGTTGATGGAATGTGGAATACACACGTTTCACCCCACAAAAATCCATGTTTTTAATAATAATAATAATTGGTTTGGTGTTGAGCCTAAGGCTTGTCAACCTCCGGAGGGTTATTAAGGCCACCACAATAGCTTACCAGCAAGAATACTGTAGTCCTGAACACGGTCCATAACTGAAGTAAACTCTCAGTATACCTCGAAAAGTGGGGAGAATACACCAGTTGGTGTAAATATCGTGTTCTTTTTGGGGGGCTTAAGGCTTAACCAGCCCGTTCTCTGGCTGCTTGATTTGCTATATAACAAAATACGACCTTTTTAACCCATCTAGCCCATGGAGTCCGGTGCATTAAAGGGGTGAATATTTGTGAGACTTGCTTTTCATAATATGTTGCATTTGTACCGTTGATTACAATAACTAATACGTGATAACTGAGAGGATGTGTTGACACGTTGAGACTTATTAAGGTCACCACAGTTGCTTACTGACCAACCGACTGTTATACTTTATCCCTGAACACAGCCCAGGACTAATGTAAACTCAATGTACATTCACCCCAATAGCGGAGTACACCCATTGGTGTACCTCTGTTTCTTAGCAAGGTGGCCGAAGAATGAAAAAAAGACTAAGGGAACTAAAACTTACCACACTGGAGGAGAGGACGAGCAGGGGAGACTTTAATAACTATATACAAGACTAAAAGTGTAAGTTTTCAAGGTTTCTAAGCGAGGAAAAGCAGTGGGTGGATACTAGATCAACAACACAAGAGTAAATAAAGCAATTGCAGCTATCCAGGTACTTCCTATCGGCAGGTCAGAAAAGCCTAATGAACTAGATATTCAATAATGTAGTTTTGCGAGGTTACGATCCAGTTCTTTAGTTCCTGTTCACAGAGTTGACCCTCAAACTGTTTATCACACATATATTCTTGCAGCTGTGTATGATTATCAACCCTAATGTCTTTCCTTCTAAGTCATTTAACGTTTTCACTTCTGAAGAAATGTTTCCCTGTATCCCTACAACTCACTTAGTCTATGTTTTCGCCTCAAACTTCTCGTTCCACTGCTGTGCTTAATGTTAATGTGTCTAAGTTATCCACCTAATCAGTCCCTTTTAGTCCCTTAAATGAACCAGTTGTCACTTTTTTTTTCCAGCGTTAAAAGGTCGAGTAACCTCAAATAATCCTCACATTAACTCTCTCGGTTCGGGAACCACTTTTCATAATTTTGCCCTTTCAGTTCAGGAACCAATCTCGTAGCAAACTTGTAAACATTTTCCACCTGTGCTACTTCAGGTGGGAGCGTTGGGCCATGGATGCATACTACAACACTGGCCTAACGTAGGTGGTAAATACATGATTCGTTCGTTCACGTGAATGTGCGTGCGCGTAGGAGAGTATAAATAATTGCTTAAAAAATTTACAACACGAAATATGGGTAAAATACAACTCCAATACAACACATGGCCGCAAAAAGTGTCTGTCATTGCTAGGATGCTCGAAAAATAAATATATATATATTTTTAAAATATATTACTTCCAATGTTTGCTTAGGGGTAACATGACAACAGTCGTCTGGCGCCACTTGCCATAAATTGCTCTGGTTCCATACGAACTGTAAATTCAAAACAAGAACTCATACAAAAATTGCAGCCTACAGCAGAAATTTATTGCGATAGGTGGCTGTATAATAAACGAGGCTGCCAACAGCTCGATCCGGTCCGTAAATTGCTGGACCGGGATTGAGAGAAAACAGCAGGAATATACAGAGAGTTGTTGTTATTGTTAAAGATTCGCTACCTGGAACATGAAGTTCCAAGTAGCACGGGCTATGGTGAGCCCGTAATACAGAGAGAGATGTAACCCACTTCTCGGTGTGTATACACTAAGAGTTTACTTCAGTTCTAGATTATGTTCAGGACTAATGTATGTACTTGCTGGGTGTTCAGTAAGCTGTTGTGGTGACTTAAATAACTCTCCAGAGGTTGATAGGTATTAATCCCAACATTAAACGAAGAAAACAGGTTTGGTTTAACTGGCAACTTGTGAAAATAATTACAGAACCTTAGAAGGCAGAGAAGAACATAGCAACAGCGCCAGAAGCGAACATACTAGAGTTAAGATAAATTGATTCACTTTTTGAAAATAAATATAGCAACAAAAGCAAGGGACTAACAAATTTTGCTACGAGATTAGAAGCGGCAGCAAATAAGTCAAGAAGCCATTAATATAAAATAAATGCACAGGAATAATTACACTAATGTCTCTAATTTTAATTATGTGAATATACACTCGTGCAAGAATAGTCATCAAAACTGAAAAAGCCAATTTCACAACAAACATTATTGAAAAATATAGTAAAAAAAAACTGCTCAAAAAAGCTTCATACATGTATGGTGATAATATAAGACAATCTTTTTCTATATAATTTGAATCACACGTTGACCGCTACATTAAACATTTAGCTGCTTACCGTTATATTTCTCTTCCTTTTGTTATTCCCAACCTCGTAAGAAAAACCTGATTCAGCCATAACCTTAATTATCACGAAGGAAAATAACTAGAAAAACAATAAAAAATAAAAAATAATTAATTATTTTAGGAGACAGAAAGTCACAATAACATCACAATAACGTGGCTGAAATTAGATACGAAACCCACATGTCTGAAACTATTTTTCGATCGT